TTTTTTTAAGAGACAGGATCTCACTCTGTCAGCCAGGCTGCAATTACAGCTAGTGTTCGACTTACGACCACGGTCGGGACCGTGGACCGGTCATAACACGATTTGGTCGTAAGTTGAGTAGGCTATATGTACAGTTGAAATGGTGCACGCGGGCGGAGATGGTAGTGCTGCCAGAAGTTGGTCTGCACTGTCGTACGCCCAGCTGGGCAACGTTTGCACTGCCAGACGTGGGGCAGTCGTGGCTAGCGATTGTGGTCGTAAAGTCGAATGGTCATAAGTTGCATAGGTTGTAAGTCGATCAATACCTGTATAGCTCACTGTAACCTTAAACTCTTGGGCTCAAGTGATGTCCTGCCTAAGCCTTCTGGCTGAAGGAGGCTACAAGTATGTGCTACCACACCCAGCTGTTCTTTTTTATTTTTGTAGAGACAGGGTCTTGTTATATTGCCCATGGTGGTCTTGAAGTGGCCTCAAGCAGTACTCCTGCCTCAGCCTTTCAAAGTGCTGGGATTAAAGGCATAAGCCACCACTGTCAGCGAACTATTAACCCATTCATAGAGAGGCAGGATGGTAGAATAAACATGAGAACTGGATTCACACAACTCATTTTGCTTCCCATCTCCTCCACTTACTAGCTGTATGATCTGCATGAGAACACCACCTTCTATTCTAATACTACTATGTTACTCCTGGATAGTCACATGGAGAAAAGTGTCATTAAATGAGAAGTTCACAGCACAAAGCCTAGCACCCTGGAGACCCTTATTATTGTGAAGATAGACACCCAAGACATCAGAATACAAAAGAAACCTTTTGGATACTTGACTGATGGAAGTAAACAAAGGGGACTTATGAACTAATCCTGATTGAAGGAAAGGTCACAGCATTCTGGTAGCTACATTTAGGTAAGGAAGGACTACTCTTAGGGGTTACCTTGCTCAATCAGCTCCTGTTGGATTTCCTCCAGCACAGCCATGTCTATCAGCTCCTCCAACTGGAAGAGAAAGTGGAGATATCAGAAAGTGAAGTATTAATAACCAACTAGGCCCCACAGTGATTCATACTTGGAGGCTGGCTTGAAGAACCTAGATTTACTGGACAAAATCAGTCCAGTCCTCCTGCAGAATATGCTGACAGTGGGGTAATGTTGTCATGCTGAGAAGTCATCAACAAATGATCCAACTACCCAGTGACAAAATAATGGCACCCAATTTTGGAGAGATGATACAGGGTAGTAGTTAAATACATACTCTTCCAAGGCTATGTAACCACAGGAAAAGTTCCTAGTCTCTGCAAATCTCAGTTTTGGCCTCTGTAAATTGGGAATAAAATCTATCTGAAAGAGTTACTGCGAGTACTAATTGTGGTGCTATATGGCAAACATTGGTGTATTGTAGAACACATAAAAGCCACTGAATAATGCATCATTATTACACAGTGCGTTGATGGTTTCAAATAGTTGCCCACATTTTCTTACATAGTCTTTACAATGCTGACAACATTATCTTCTCCATTTTATAAATGTGAAAACTAAACCTCAAAGAGGCAGACTGAAGTTGAGTCAGTAGCCAAACCAGGATTTGAATTCTGGAACTCCTGACTTCCAGTCCAGTGCTCTTCCTGAAACACTATAAATGGTTTCCTTTCCACACATGGCTCCCAATGCTGGCTGAGATTAGAATCAGAAAGTGTCTGGAGACCTTTTTAGAAAGAGATTCCTGAGGTGGGCAGATCACTTAAGCTCAGGTGTTTGTGACCCACCTGGCCAACACAGTGACACCCCTTCTCTGCTAAAAATAGAAAAAAAATTAGCCAGGCATGGTGGCACACATCTGTAATCCCAGCTACTCAGGAGGCTGAGGCAGGAGAATTGCTTGAATCCGAGAAGCAGAGGTTGTAGTGAGCCAAGATCACGCCATGGCACTCCCGCCTGGGTGACAGAGCAAGACAAAAAAAAAAAGAAAAAGAAAAAGATTCCTGTCTATGCCCAAGGGTAGAGGCAAGAAGTGAAATTTCTTTTTAGTTTCATAGATGATGAGATTGCAGTGATGAACAGGTCTACAGTCTGGTATTTCATAACAAATCATCTAGACAAGTCTAATATTAAGGGTAATTAATTTTCTAATATTAAGAAAAGCCTGGGTTAAAAGCTGTCAAATTCTAAATGGGGGTAGGGGGTGGTGGGTTTAGAAGACTGGAATAAACAAGTAAAAGAGGACCCTAGCAGTTCTTCATAGTGTAGTCCCCCTCCCTGAAAACACACAGCCCAGCCTGACCTGAGCCAAGTCTTCTGGACAGTTCTCCACTGACTGCAAAGCATTCCACTCTTCTTCCATCACCTCTTGCACTAGAAAGGTGTTCTGAGCCTTCCCTGGCGTACTGCTTCCAGCCTGGCGGTACCTGTTTAGGACCCTGTCCCGGCTGTTTTTCATTCTCTCCAGGCATCTCTTGGAAAAGAGCAAGATGAGGAGAAAAAAAAAAAGCATTTCTACTTTTAAAAAACACTCTTACATTAGTTGGGAAAATCAAGAAAGTTTACAGACACAAAATTTCAACCACACTACTAACTAGTGTTATTTTTGCGTATTCCTCTGTAGAGATACATACAATTACAATGCTTTGTACATGTATTTACATATAACCATATTTTTTATTCTGTCTTCAGTGCCAGTTTCCTTAATGGTCATGTACATAGTATCTCAGCATCCAATGTCCTATTACAGAACATTTACATTCCTTACAAATTCTTGGTACTCTAGATGTGGCTGTGGTAACGGCCTTCCTGCACAACAGAGTTTCTGAACTCAGGGAGGTTTTGTCCCCCAAGGAACATTTGGCAATGCTTAGAGACATTTTTGGTTGTCACAATTCTAGTTGTAGGACTATTAGCATCTCGTGGGTAGAGGCTAGAGATGTGGCTTAAACAGCCCTCCACAACAAGTAAACATCTCCTTCAAAATGTCCATTGTCAAGGCTGAGAAACTCTGCTGTATCAGCTGTCTTTCTTGCGTTGGCTTACTTGCTTGGATAACATTACTAGCAACCACACGGTTCAGGAGAGGCCAGAACTGAGGTGGAGCGTTCTTCTAAGCCTCGGTTTACTACTCTCCAGAGTAGAAATCATCTCTACCTCCCAAGACGAACGTCTACAAAGTACCTCTCTCGGTGGCCACCTCCGCAGCAACAGTAGATAGTCTTATTGCAGAGGTGCAAAGGGTGATGTCATGACCACACTCAAATTTAAAACAAAACTGAATCCAAAACCAAGGCTTTCTAGGACTGGGCCGACCCAGGCTAATCCCACACTCCAGTCAGGAGGCCTGGGTTTGAGATCCGCTCCCACTAGCCGCCAGGCGCTCCGGCGCCTGCTCCAGAGAGCAGGACTAAGGCAAAGGCAGAGAAGACAGGGGTAGCCGGGCCAGACTGGGGTAGTGTCCACGGCCCAAACACCCACCTGCCGAAAAGCCTCTTTCCAAGGCGGCGAGCCCACCAGTTTATACAGTGAGCGGCGCGGAGACCTCGTCGACTCCGCCATCGCCTCTTCTCCGGTGACACCGGCGCAAGCCCCGCCCCCTTGCGGCACACAGACCCCTGGGAGTTGTAGTTTTCGGGCGTTGACCGCGCTTGGATCGCAGGGTATTCTGGGAAGTGTTGTCTTACAGGCTGACCCCACGTGGATACGCATTTAAGCATTCAAGCGAAACGTGTGAGGCCAGCCCAACCTGCAGTGAGGGAGGAGGTAAGTCTTTTTCTTTTTTCTTTTTTTTAGATTCGCTCTGTCTCCCAGGCTGGAGTGCAGTGGCGCGTTCTTGGCTCACTGCAACCCCCGCCTCTCGGGTTCAAGCAGTTCTCTGCCCCAGCCTCCCGAGTAGCTGGGATTACAGGCGCCTGCCACCATGCCCGGCTCATTTTTTTGTATTTTTAGTAGAGATGGGCTGGTCTTGAACTCCTGACCTCGTGATCCACCCGCCGTGGCCTCCCAAAGTGCTGGGATTACATGCGTGAGCCAATGCGCCCGGCCCAAGTCTTGAAAGAAACTTCTGGATGCCTGAGTTTACCCAGATGGAGGTTTCCAATAGGCAATTAGGTACACAAGTCTGTCTCTCCCCAGGTGCGAAACCTCGAGCAACCACCATTCTGTTGACTTCTCGTCCCGCCCCCTTGGGCTTCAGAAATAATGCTCAGCTGGTGATTGGCTTTCCCTTGGCGACACCGCTGCCTGATGGGCTTGGCCTCGCTTTCACCCCTCCTCTGACACGAGCCTCTCGAGCTTCCGGGCCGGCTGCTCGGTGATTGGCCGAAGCTGTGAGTGGACGGCCGCGGACTGGCTGCGCTCATCGGCGGGCTGAGCAACTGGAGCAAGGGGAGCCGCTGGACTAAGATGGCGGCCGTTGAGGGCCCGGTGGGCGACGGCGACCTGTGGCAGACCTGGCTTCCTAACCATGTCGTGTTTTTGCGGCTTCGGGAGGGACTGAAAAACCAGAGCCCAGCCGAAGTTGAGAAACCAGCTTCTTCGTCATTACCTTCATCGCCGCCGTCGCAGTTGCTGACGAGAAACATGGTCTTTGGCCTCGGCGGAGAGCTCTTCCTGTGGGACGGAGAAGACAGCTCTTTTTTAGTCGTTCGCCTTCGGGGCCCCAGCGGCGGCGGTGAAGAGCCCGCCCTGTCCCAGTACCAGGTACTGCCGAGCTGTTCTTGGAAGTGACCCTCACCGGGATCTGAAGTAGTTTTTTTTGTCGTTCCTTTCATGTCGTGGCAGGCGTTCCAGCGGATTGACTCCGACACTGCCAGTCGCGGTCGCGGGGACTAAGGGTCTCTAGATGCTTACGGCCTGGGACTCTGCGAGCAGAGAAAGGGCCATGGAATAATTAGTAAAATACTAGTGATGCAATTGTATGCCCTGGCGAAAAACCAAGCAAGCTAAAGGGGCTGAGAACGAGTGGGCAGAGTTACTATTTTTAGTTTGGTCGGGAGAAACCTATTTCATGATTTGACGCTCATAATACGTATAAATCGTAACTTTCTCTTGTGTTGTGCACAGCAAGTCAGATAGTAGATTTCAAAGCACCACGTTTCGTGCTTGACATGGAGGAGGAAGTCTTTGTTAATTCTCCGCCTCCCTCGCCAGTCTGCTTTAGAAAATAAAGCCATACCCAAAATTGGGATTTTTGTGAAAGTGGGTGTGATCCAAAAAGTATTACAGACTTGCTGTGATCAAATATTGGTTTATGGAAATGTTTATTTGTAATACATAGATTCTCCTCCTTTAAAGATTGTAAAGAGCTTGGTACCCAGTCTAAGGTATGACATCTGTTGTGAACCCGGTCCAATTCTTGCTACCGAGAAGTGATTTAATTTTAATAAGATGCTAGCAATGCTTCTGCAGTTTTGAAAATAGGACAAGAGTCTGCAGTCTTATATAAAATTTCAGTTGAAATAGGGCAGGAGTCTGCAGTCTTACTATAAAATTTCAGTTAAAAATAATTTTCAAGGCCAGGCACGGTGGCTCACGCCTGTAATCCCAGCACTTTGGGAGGCCGAGGTGGGTGGATCACCTGAAGTTAGGAGGAGTTCGAGACCAGCCTGGCCAACGTGCTGAAACCCTGTCTCTACTAAAAACACAAAAGTTAACCAGGTGTGGTGGCGCACACTTGTAATCCCAGCTCCTCAGGAGGCGGAGACAGGAGAATCCCTGGAACCTGGGAGACGGAGGTTGCAATGAGTGGAGGTCTTGTCACTGCACTCCAGCCTGGGTGACAGAGCAAGACTCTTTCCAAAATGATAGTAATAATTACCAAATGTTCAGCACACAGTGTTCTAATAATATCCTATACTGCTTTGTAGCATTTGACACAATCATAATTATTTGTAATTATTATTATTGTTGTTGTTGTTGTTGTTAAAAACGGTCTCGCTCTGTTGCCCAGGCTGGAGTGCAGTGGTACAATCTCTGCTCACTGCAACTACCACCTCCTGGATTCAAGCGATTCTTCTGCCTCAGCCTCTCAAGTAGCCTGGATTATAGGCCTCGGCACCATATCCATCTGCTTTTTGTATTTTTAGTAGAGACGGGGTTTCGCTATGTTGATCAGGCTGATCTGGAACTACTGGCCTCAGGTGATCCACTGGCCTCATCCTCCCAAAGTGCTGGGATTCCAGCCTTGAGCCATGGCACTCTGCCTCTGTCTTCTTTTCTAGACTGTAAGCCCAAGGCAAGGGCTGGGTCTGCTCTTCTCATTTTTTAAAAATTTATTTTATTTTTTATTTTTGAGTCTTTCTATGTTGCCCAGGCTGGAGTGCAGTGGTGTGATCACGGCTCACTGCAGCCTCTACTGTCAGAGGTCAAGTGATCCTCCCACCTCAGCCTCCGGAGTAGCTGGAACTGTAGGCAAATGCCACCACACTTGGCAATTTATTCATTTTTGTATGTCCAGCATACAAAGATGCTGGAGTGCCCAGAATTTATAAGCTCTCAGTAAATACTGGTGACTATCTCAATAGCATTCACTCCTCCAGAAATCTCAAAACCTTAGGGATGAGGAAGAAAGCAGCTTATGAGTTGTAACTTTGGATGTTCAAGCATGAGTAATCTGGGCATGGTAGCTCTAGCCTATAATCTGAGCACTTTAGGAGGCCAAGGCTGAGGTGGGTGAATCTTGTGAGCACAGGAACAGGTGTTCGAGCCTAGCATGGGCAACTTGATGAAACTCCCATCTCTACAAAAAAAAACAAAACAAAACACCTTTTTAATTAGCTGGGAGTGTTGGCACATGCCTGTAGTCGCAGCTCCTCAGGAGGCTGAGGTGGGAGGAACATCTGAGCCCTCAAAGGCTGCAGTGGGTTGCCACTGCACTCCAGCCTGGGCGCAGATCAAAATTCTGTCCCCCCCCCCCAAAAAAAAAGCATGAGTAGTGACTTTAAAAACAACAACAGCAGACTAAATAGTATGATTATCACAAATGAACTAAAGTGATTGAATTGTATATGTAGCAAAAGAAAGGTGGCATCTGTTTGGTGTGAGTTTGACTAGAAAAATAATCAGAAAGGAGAATGGGTGTTGAATATAGGGAAAGAAGGAAAAATGAAAAAGTTTGGTTAGAATCAGCAAAGGCCTACTAAAAAACAAAAACAAAACCAGGCTTACAGACATCAGCAGTTGAAAAACAAGAGCATTTCAAGAAGACAAACAATTGTACAAGGACACAGAGGCATGGCAAAGCAGGATACTATCCCAGAAATACAAATTATTCTGTTTGGAATGTGAAGTACAAGCAGGGGAGTGGTAGGGTGGAGCTTGATCATAAGTGTAAGGTTAGCTGAGAGAAAGGAGAATAAACCCAAAGTCAGGCAAGCAAGTTTTATTAATCTGCTGGGCTTCCCCAGAGAAAGGATAGACTGAAAGACAAGCAAGTTTTATTAACCTGCCAGGGCCCCTTAACAATCAGAGGAGGCATCCCAGAGCTTATAAAACCAGGGGTTTATATGGGATGAGAGGGGCCTAAGGGAGTTTCAGGCCTCAGATAATCTAATCTATCAGCTTGTAATAGGCACAGAGATAGTTTGTGACAAACTTACAATACATCATCCTATGACTTTTGTTCTGTGGCAGTGGTTTTAAAAAAACAGGATTTTACAAATATGGATAACAAACATTTTACTTTGTCCTCCCCCAAGTTGACCAGATGGCTGTAATCAAGCTTTGCTTAATTGTAGCACCTAGATAGAAGTTAAGGAATGCAGCTGCAGAGCAGTCAGATTAGGAGTGGGGTCAGCTTGCTCAGAGGGGGTTTTCTGAGGCAGCTTGACCCTAACAATAAGATAGAACATTATGTGTAATAGTCTCTATTTATCAAGGTAAGGAAATCTGATGCATATTACCTAACATTCCAATCTAAATGATTAAAAATATTTCATGGCTGGGCATGGTGGCTCACACCTGTAATCTCAGCACTTTGGGAGGCCAAGGCGGGTCGATCACCTGAGGTCTGGAGTTGGAGACCATTCTGGCCAACGTGATGAAACCCCATCTCTGCTAAAAATGCAAAAATTAGCTGGTGGTGCATTCCTGTAGTCCCAGCTACTCAGGAGACTGAGGCAGAAGAATCCCTTGAACCCAGGAGGTGGAGGCTGCAGTGAGTTAAGATCGCGCCACTGCACTCCAGCCAGGGCAATTCAGGAGAATGTGAAGGAGGCCTCAGAGTAGAACTAAGGATCTACAGACTTGTGAAGATCCCTTCTACTTCTCTAAAAAAAAAAAAAAAAAGAGCTCAGTCTCAAAAAAAAAAGCTGATGGTACAAGTGTGAGTACTTATCTAGAGTTTTATTATCCTATAATTGTAGTAAAGTATTACTGTGATTTCAAGTAACTTCCATCTATATTTATATTAAAATTAACTATATTGACTGGTTTGCTTTAATTTTCAGAGATTGCTTTGCATGAATCCGCCCCTGTTTGAAATCTATCAAGTCTTGTTAAGTCCAACACTACATCATGTAGCACTTATAGGAATAAAAGGACTTATGGTATTAGAATTACCTAAAAGATGGGGGAAGAATTCTGAATTTGAAGGTGGAAAATCAACAGTGAATTGTAGGTAAGTTGTATAATATTTATCTGTATTTTTTATGATATACACAGAAAATTGTTCAAGACCAGTGATTCTTAAAGCATGTTTAGTATACTACTGTTGAAACATTAGAGCACTCCTCATGGTCTGCAGACTAGCTTCTTATGTTATCAGTGTTTATAGTATGTGTGTGATTGTACTTTATTCTGCCTTAATTATCACATTGCTGTCTCTTTGGGGGCTAAACCATTCTTTCAATTAGGTAGAAGTAAGATTTTGTAAATGTAGTTACTACCTGTCAGCCAGAAATTTGCCGTAAGTTTATCTAAGTGTGTATGTATATGTGTGTATATATATATAGATATATATAATTTTTTTCTTTTTTCTTTTTGAGATGGAGGCTTGCTCTGTCACCCAGGCTGGAGTTCAGTGGCTCAGTGGCACAATCTCAGTTCACTGAAGCCTCCACCTCCTAGGTTCAAGCGATTCTCATGCCTCAGCCTCCCGAGTAACTGGGATTACAGGCGAGCACTACCATGCCCAGCTAATTTTTTTATTTTCAGTAGAGACAGAGTTTCACCATGTTGGCCAGGCTGGTCTTGAACTCCTGACCTCAAATGATCTACCTAACTCAGCCTCCCAGAGTGATAGGATTACAGGCATGAGCCACCGTGCCTGGCCTATTTTTATATAATTTATTTTTCAACAAATCCAAAAAAGTGAGTCTGAAAGATCTGTTGAAAAGAGTACAGTTGCTTTTCAACTTATGATTGGGTTATGTCCCAATAAACCCAGTGTACATTGAAAATGCATTTATTATTGACAACACAGCAGATGATCCCTGATTTAGGATAGTTCGATTTAGTATTTTTCAATATTATGATGGGTAACCCCATCATAAGTCATAAGGAGCTCCTTGATTTATGATGGGGTTATGTCCTGATGAACCCATTGTAAAGTTGGGGATCATCTGTATAAGGTAGAAACCTACTTTAGCTCCACAACTTATAAGTTGAATCCCCTTAAACTTTTTATTTTCTAAATCTCTGTTTCCTCATTTTAAAAATAGGATTGATAATCTCTGCCATTGTAATTTCCTTATAGGGTTAGTGAAAGGATCAAATAAGATACTGTATCTGAAAACACTTGTGCTGTATGAAATATGTATCAAAAATCCTAAGTCAAACCATCCTAAAATGTATGTATATATATAAAATATACTATAATTTGAGGCTGGACGTGGTGGCTCACACCTGTAATCCCAGCACTTTGCAAGGCCAAGGCAAGGTGGGTGGATTCCCTGTGCTCAGGAGTTTGAGACCATCCTGGGCAACATAGTGAAACCCCATCTCTACTAAAATACAAAAAATAGCTGGGCGTGGTGGCACGCACCTATACTCAGGAGGCTGAGGCAGGAGAATCTCTTGAACCCAGGAAGTGGAGGTTTCAGTGAGCCAAGATCACACCATTGCACTCCAGCCTAGGCAATGAGTGAAACTCCGTCTCAAAAA